TTTTTTTTATATACTTTTAATATTAAAAATTTTTTCAATAATAAATAAATATGTATTAAAATCCTATAACTGGATAAAATTATTTATTTTCCATCTTTTCTTCCTTCACATTACCACATAATATCCTGACGAATTTTTGGGTGGGTACGGGGGTGAGGGTGGTGAAAAAAAATCACATCATAAAAATGAAAAAAAAGGGGTCCTAAGTAAACAGCGGTACCGGCGACTCTGGGACCTTCGCCGCGCACCGTTCCCGCTCGCCCAGTGACGTCATACCCCCACCTCCGAAGAATCCCCGCGCTCCGTTTCCCCTCGCCTCCGAGTACCCCCCGCGCCCCGCATTCCCCTCTAGCCCCATGGGTTAGAACCCGCCTAGTATACCTACTTTTAAAATCTATAATGTTGCAGATTTTGATAAAATCTGAGGAAATTGGACTAAGAGTCAATACCGTTACTTCAGATATGGGTTCTTCGAACATGTTTCTATGGAAAAGCTGTAATATTACTGCAGGGAGGGATTCAGTAACCGTAAATAAAATTAAGCATCCTTGCGATCCGGAACGCCACTTGTTTTTCATAGCGGACGGAGCACATGCGCTGAAAAATTTGAAAGGTGCACTATTGAGTAACAAAAAGTTGTATCTTCCGACTGCAATTCAAACCGAGTATAAACTACCGACGAACATTGTGTCTGTAAACCATTTTTTCCATTTGATCGATTGTCAAAAAGATATGGAACTAATGATGACACCGAAATTAAGCGAAGCGGATGTAGATGTAACTAATCAATATATTAAGATGCGAGTAAACAGAGCGCGACATGTTTTAAGCAATGATGTTGGCAATTCATTGCAATATCTTGCGAGTGAAGAGAACAAACCAGAGTACATGGTAACTGCGTGGTTTGTGAATCAAGTATCTCGTTGGTTCTCACTCATAACTTCCAGACATGTCAGCAGAGCTTTAGGCAAGTACAATGTAAAGCGCTATCAAGAAAGTATTTTGTTTTTAAAAAAAATGATAGTTATTTCAAAATCTAGCTATCGGGGAAAAAGGCCACTTCAAACCGGTTCAGAAAAGCATTATCGTAACAACTACGTCGATAATCGAATTAGTAGATTACTTATTAGAAAAAAGAGACTTTAAATTTCTGTTAACTGGCAGATTGACACAAGATTGTGTCGAAAATTTATTTTCGGTCATACGCCAGAAAAATGCTATTCCGAATGCATTACAATTTAAGCATAATTTGAAATTGATTTCCGTTTCAATGTACATGAAATGTATCGAGTCTGGAAATTATGACTTTGACGATAGATCTTATTTGTCAGGCTTTTTAGACCATACTACGACTATACATAACGAAGAAAAAAAAAGTATATAAAAAACAACACTGATGACTTAAGTCAATCTGTCATACATTTCGAAGACGTAAAACAATTAAGCAACATAGAAATGAATATTCTGTACAGTGTTGCAGGATACCTTGTAAAAAGTATTTTACACTTGTCGAAGAAAAGATGCGTAAAGTGTGCTGTTTCCGTAGGCTCAAAGAAACCGGAACTTTTTTCGTACGCGACTTTTGTACGCTTTCGATGCATCAAAGCAAATACGTTATTTTTTGTGAATCATTGTACATTCCAGATATTCCTACAAATGGAATACTTCTTCCGAAAATCTATAAAATCCATTAGGTCGAAACCAAATATTAATGTTTTGCGATTCTTTACTGATCAATTTGAGTCGTTCATCGTAGGCGATCACATTGCGACATGCCATAATTTAAGATCAAAAATTATTAAACGATTTGCGGTGTTCAGATTAAAAATAGCATGTAAGAAATACAAGCCTAAAAAAAGGCATTATGACAGTAAAACTATGGCAATGCACAGTGTAAAAAAATAATCTTTTATTACTCCTGTTTCTCTATTATCTATCTCCTGTCATTATATTAATTATATATTTTATATTTCATTAATTTGCAATAAATTTATTTCATTTATTCTATTGTGTATACATCCGAAATAAACATATATATATATATATATGAATTTATACATTAATACCTTTCAAATTTGCCGCGCTTTGCTATCCCCTCCACTTTTAGACCACTAATGGACGCTTAATTTTCAGGTGGCCAGACTCTTATTAGAGGGTCTCTACTAGGCACGCCTAAGGGTCTCTAGTTTCTATTCATGTCAGCGGCTTTCCCCCTCCGCACATTTCGGGCCGATTTTTGAAGCGTGCCTACTTTTTATCGTCGTCTACTACCGCTCAACGCTCGACGACCGAGTCGCACCGTTGGATCGCGCGCGGACGTGTCTCAAAAGCGTTGCACTATAAGAAATGTCTTAGCACCGAGACACTACCGTTTCTCCAGATTCTTTCAACAGTTGTTGAATTAAAACTTAAAAGTACACATATAATGTAATTATATAAAAATATATTTGTAGTAATATGTTTATCGATAACGTTATTTATAAAAAAAAAATGAAAAAAGGAAAATGCAGGATGGAACGTAAGATCTTCGGAATACTGGTCTCGCACCTAACGCCCGAGACCACGCCGAGTTCTTATGAATCATCTCTACGAATGCGGTACATAAAGCGCACGGAAAATCGTAAATTACATCTCGTCAACTATCACGTTTTGAAATCATTTTTGCTGTTATGCGTTAATGAAAAAGGATTATGATCAATATATTTATTAATAATTTCACTTATTCAATATATTTATCAATATATTTATTAATATATCAATATATTTATTAATAATTTCACTTATTTTAGAAAAAAAATTATGAAAAATAGAAAAAAGGAATCAATTATGGGATCTGTAACGTTCTGATCTCGCACTCTACGCGCGAGACCACGCTGAGTTCTTGCAAACCACTTCTATGAACATATATAACGCTCATTGAAATTCATTAAAATGTCAATATCTTGTAAATTATCATGTTTTGAAATAATTTTTGATATTAAATTGGAGGGATATACGATTAGTGTGTAATTTATTAAAACTTATACGTTATCTATAATGTCCCTTCTCTCTTTTTGTACATGAGCAGCCGAAATTACCGAGAAAGCATTTTCGGTCGCTTGCAAACAAGCGATTAGAGCGAGAAGGCGGCTCACTATCGCTGTCTCGCTCGCTCTCGCTCCGCGCGGGAGCTATAGATTCGTGAGTCGAACTGACACGCGGAAGACAGTTGATAAACAAAACACGAGCGTAATAACTGATCGGTTGCCGAGTCGAGGTCAGTCTCAGTGTTCGTCAGTCTGTGTCGTGTCGTGGTGCAGTGCGGTGCTCTAAGATAAGATAACCTTTTCAATAAAGTGATAGTAATAGTGATTGTATTCCATTATTCGTTGCGATTACTGAAAATGTAGACGTAAAGTATACGTAACGTGAAGTATATATTTTCAGTATTCACACTGAATAATGGAATGTAGCCAGTAGCCAGTGGTTATATTCGGACGAATATTTTCAAACTTATTTTCGTTTTTCTAATTATGTTATGTTTTTAGACGCATATCAAAGGCAGAGAGAAAGAGAGATAAGGACGGAAAGAGCAGGAGGGAGAGAGAAAGACAGAGAGAGGCAGAGAGAGAGAGAGAGAGAGAGAGAGAGCGCAACCATTCGGCGAGATGCCTCGACCACGTAAGTATAATTAAATGTTTCTTCCGATTTGTCGGCTGTCTAGAGGTGCGTTCCGTATCTTGCATGATGCGCATGATACATCCATTGTCCTTGTTTAACATTTGGTGAGCAACAAGGATAAACAACGATACATTATGCACATCATGCGAGAAACGGAACGCACTCTAGGAATATGCTGTCAGCTCTATTCGCGTATTTTCTCCTTGTGTGTTTAAAAACCGATAAGGAAAAATGTATAAGCTGAAAGCGTGCTTCTGCAGTCTTCTTCGTTTTATTAATTTTTTCCATGTATCTTTTTCACTTTTCTTTATCTATCTGCTACATTTCTTTTATTGACCACTGTTTTCGGCCGCTATCTGTATGATAGGTCCTGTTTATTCGCATCGCATGCCTCTTCACCTCCCGTTTTCCTCTCTCCTCCTTCTCATTCGCTCTTGGTTTCGTTTTTCGCCCGTTCTCGCATCATCATCACACTGTTTCTCGCGTTCGTTGTCCGTTTCTTTCCTTCTTTTTTTCACAATGTTTTCTTTCTTTCTTTTCCTATTTTTTGTAATTGTTTTTCTTAAGCATAACTAATATTTATATTAAAATATATATTTTATAAATTAAAGCATTTCGTTTTCTCTCTAACACTAAAAAATAATTGTTCATTGAAAATTTGTAAGCCAAAAATTAATTTACCTATTGCACATACTATTTATATTTAAGACTACGGACAATTGAGATGTCCTGATAACTAGTCAAATTATATGTCAAATTATATGTAGTAATATGGATAGATCTTTTATAAACTAAATATGTGCAATAATTAAATTTTATGCAATTTATT